GGTTGGAATGCAACGCTTTGCTCTTACACTAGGTGAAGACATTCAATTCCCAGTTTGTTTTAAACTGGACCACACCCCCTACCTCTACATTTGCATGACGACTTCCTTGCAGCACTGCACTCTCGCTGCGCCAGAGAGATAAGTAGAGAGCACCAGAGAAAGGCTGCCCTTCACCTAATGCTCTGTTAACGTCCTCACATAATTATAGCCTTCACTGGGTTTGTGCTGTGATTGCATACCACACATGTATCACCTTCATTCTTCTTAAAATGCTATCAGAACATGCCAACGAAAAAAAATCAACTCTACTTTTGTGTTCATGACATTTACAGGTGTAGCCTTATTATAACTATAATGATAAGTATCATTTCTGTAATGATATTGGTAGCAAGTCAATGTGGCTACCAACAGAATTTTTCACAGTCTATAACTGCTGAGAGAGACATGCCTCCCAACTCTTGATGACGCACTTCTGTATGAAAGTTCAAGCCACACCTCAGATAAGCCTTTCACACAGGCTGTGTGGCTGCTCTCACCTGTTAAAGCAGGTGTGAAAATTGAGGTAAAGCAGTTTGGTCTGGACGTATAGGCTCAAAATAATGCACTAATAATTCAAATAAATGGCAAGACTGAACTTAAATGCTGCACTTTAAAAGAAAGACATTATTCACAACATTCACCAGAACATCAATGCATTTAAAACATGCCACTGCTGGATTAATAGTCTCACCAATCGTTCTCGGACTCAAAGTAGCAGACAGAGATGAGTCGAGCACCACTGCCCACTGCAAACTTGTTCTCCAATGGAGACCACTTCACGAAGGTGGCCGCTCTGTTGATCCTGAGGATGACCAGTGTGGGCTTCCATACCCCCTCCTTCTGGGACCACACATAGGCATTACGGTCTGCTCCACATGTCACTATGCGGTCACTTTTGGGAGCCCAGTCAATGCCTATAACACAGCCAATAAGCAGTCACTAACAACTCTACTAATAGCTTAGACAAAAAGAAACCCCTTTAGGATCACACAATCCCACCATAGCTGTGGTTTGACTTATTAAAGAATTCTTCAGAAACATTAATTTTACTGACATGTTGGGTGAGACGTGGACTGAAACGTCACGTTAAATAAGTAAAAAAAAACAATCAGTCTTAAAAACATCTGATTAACCACCTGTTATATGGCCATTGTGTTCCTTCAGTTCATGGGTCTTAACCCACTGGTTGCCACTCTTCTTGTAGATATGAACTTCATGGTTATTGGGACTAATGGCAATTTCTGAAGGAAAACAAAACAGAAGAAACCAGCTGGTTAACAGGATGAGCACAGAGATAACAAACAAGTTAGACCAGTTTTCTGATCCAAATTCCAACCTGTGTTACCCAAAATAAACTGAGTCAATCTTATCTCTGTTCAGATGAAATTGCTCTAACAGCATTCTTTGTAGTTGTGATCTGACCATCCAATGAAGACAAAGACTTTAAGACCTTAACCTTGAAATGTGTTGCGTTAAAGTGAGCATTTCTCATAGCTAGTCTCGGAGCCTTACGTGTCCTGTCGCGGTTCCATGCGTGGCAGGTGATGGGTTCCAACAGAAACTGATGAAGGGACATGTTTGGGTGTGGTCCTTAAGTTGAACTCTGCGAAGCAAAAACACACAGCAAAAACTCACAAAGCAAAACACGGCAAACACACTCCCAGCCAGCAGGAGACCAGAACGATGTCTCGGTAGACTTAAAAACTACACACATTACAGCATACATAATGGAAGCTGCTGGTTCACTGCTCACATAGGACAGCTAGTTAACTGTTAACTTTTAAAGCACCCTAACTCGTAATGTACGTGTTAGCCGCTAGCTTGGATTCTTTAGATAAACCCTGTCACCGAGATGCTTTCTTTACTAGTTTCTCTTAAATAACGATGGCAAATTAACGTTAGCAAGCTGACTTTCACTTAAGTCCTTTTTCGCCCCAAACAGACGTACAACATTCTTCAAAACCAGTACGGACTTGCTAAGCTAGCTCCGGTAATATTACCATTACTAGGTCAGCTGCTTCCCTCGGTAAATTAACATTAGCAAAACGTTTCTAGCAAGTCAATCAAATTGCTAGCTCACATTTCGCCGGTGTTACACAGGCCTAATAGCAAGACGGGGAATTTTGAGGGATATAATGACAACGACTGTGTCCACACGCTTACCAGAAGGCCTCCTTTCTAAGATTATTTTTTCCTCGTACAAGAAGCCTTTACTCCCGGTGACAGCTACACCATTAGCCTGTCCATCCCACTAGCCTCCGTATGCTAACTTACCTCGTCAGTCCGGTTCTCCCGAGTATTGAACTCTTGTTAGCCGGTGAGCTAAATCACGCTAGCGGGGGGAAAGGTTAGATTAGGAGTGGACCTGAATTCGCGGACTCTGGTCAGTCGACACGAATTCGTCCAGGAATGTTGAGGGGAATGTCAAGACGGCCAGCAGGATACGACCGGGAGCATCCGGTAGCTAAAACTCGGCAGCAAAACCCGTGGATGCCAGGCTGACAGCTAGCTTAGCATCATTACGCTAGCTGTTACATTCAAGTGAATAACCTCGTTCACGTCGCTAGATCTCACGCTACTCCTAGTCCGAGAAGAGCTCCTCTAGTGCCTTACCCAGAGTGCTTTAAACGGTTACAAAACAGCACAGACTTGTGGCCGCTGTATCAGTGTTGTATTAAACACGACTTAATCAGGCTTAGATGTTGTGTTTGTCTGATAATGTGTGAATGTGGCAAAACACAGAATCACCGACTCGGAATTTTAAAAGCAGGTTTTAAATTCATATTTATGGTACTCTGTAAAATTCTTGACCCACCCCTAGTTTCTCTGTATTTAGCTTTTAATGAGCCAGATTTTCATGTCATCTTTTTAAAGTGGTCTTGAGCAATAGTGCTCCAGGCTTTTTCTTTGGGCATTGGCTGCTGTTTCACTTATTCTCAGTCTTTGTACCTGATGCCTGTTTTTTTCCCTTTTATTAATCCACTTTATGCTGACCTAAGAAACCTTTAAGAATAAAAAAGGCTTCTAAATAAAGGTATGAACCAGTGTTGTGTCTAAACTTAACAGATAATTAGAAGAAGAAACAATTTTAAATTGTACCTTTAAGCACTGTTACTAGTAGTCTGTCACAAAGCACACACACAATTTATTCAATTTTCTTTAGCTGAAACTATAGAAATTGCCAAAAGCACCATTTGAGATTAATTTTCATTTTTTCAGCATCTTTCCACCGAAGAAAAGATTAACAAAGAGCTCTTAGCTGAAAAATTGGCATATCTTTGCATGATAGGCAGTGTGTTCTTAAAATGTTGGAGGAAACTGGACAAGTGAAGGACAAAAGAAGAAGTAGGCCTAAAAAACATCTATAGCAGATAAACAGTATCTGATCAAGATGTCATTCTTAAGGAAGAGAAAAGGTCAAAGTATGACAAATTATACAAGAACTGGACAGAAAATCAGTGGCACCAGGTCTTATTGGAGTGATGAATCCAAATGTGAAGCTTTTGGGCAAATCCCAATTAATATGTTGGAAGTCAGTAGAGTCTGTTAAGTATCTGATTGGCATTTTTCAGGCTTCATTTTTCACAAATACACTGTTAATGCAGTAAAAACATAGATTGGCTCCTCCCTGCAACCCTGATAAGGATAAGCATCCAAAGAAATGAGGAGCTCTATATTTTGCATAATAGAGCACATCTGGCCTTACTCATAAAGAACAGACTATCTTTGGTGTTAAAAAAAAAAGAAAAGATTTTTTACCAATTTCCAATGGAATAAAACTAAGCAAGATGGCTGTTTGGGGGAAGGTTTGCCCCAGCGCTGAAAGACCTTTCTACCTGCTTAACATGCTCATGGTGCTATTGAACAATGGGTAATACCTTCTTGAACCAATCAGAGGCAAATTCAATTAACAGCACCTGGTACATCTGCTGATGAACCCCTGCTGGACGCAAACACAGGAGGCACATTTTAGGAGTTTTCTCTTGTTTTTCCTCTCACGCTCCCTCAGGCCTTTTAAATGGAATCAAATGTGGATAAGCTGTTTCCTGCACCTACGCCATACTTCTTACCAGGTAAAAATAACCTCTCATCTCAAGCATTGCTTAGTCTGTTTTCCTGTGGTTGAAAAAAACAAACACCTCACTGTGTATCCATTTTTCCAGAGGACTGTAAATCGGATCAAGATGTCAAAGTCTACAAAGTCTACAAAGTCCACTCACCTTTCACCCGACCACCACCACCACTACAGCCACCACAACCGCCTTCCTCGTCTTCAGGAGTTTGCTTGCCCAACAATATTCTCTCAGCTGTACCAGGTACAGGCTCTTCTACCTCCATTTTGAATATGTAATGTCACATTTTCTTTGCTCACTGCTAAGTTTAAACATAGCTTAATATTTTATTACTTTAAGCTGCTGATTTTAGCTCTGTTTCCCCCCCTCTACAGTTTTACATAAAAATAAAAAAAATAGCAGCAATCCCCTTCAGGTTGCATGTCAGCATTCATTTTTAACCTCTTCTCAACAGTGTATGATGCCCCTTCACGTTCACCCAGGGCAAAGTTTGTGAGCTATGAAGCTGAGCTGCGATGCTCTCCAGGTCTGGCAACCTGCCCCTCCTGCAGGACTCGGGTCACCACAGAGGTCACCTTTAAAGCCGGGACTTTTGCGTGGCTCATGTGTCTTGTGTTTGTGTTATGCGGGTGAGAGGCATTTAAACACTTCAGTCTGGTTGTTTTTTGTACCCCAGCATCGATCACACATTTGATTTCTAAAAAGTCAGAGATCAGCGTGTGGTTCTTTCCGCCTCATAGGTTGGTGCTCGGCTGCTGCCTGATTCCATTTTTTGTAAACCACTTCAAGGACGCCTACCACAGTTGTCCACGCTGTCGACGGGTTCTTCACGTGCACAAGAAGCGGTGCTGCGAGTGAACACACAATTGCTGGAGTCAAATGCATGTTTAGACATAAGAGCACATGAGTTCCTGTCGTGTAAAATTCGATATTTTAAACGTTCTAATCAAATTGTGAAAGAATCCTATTAAATAAATGTGTTCTGTGCCAATCTTTCATGCTTTATTTCTTTGTTTTATTTAAAATGCAGAGCAGGGAGAAAAGCTTAATGTTTCAAGTGACCTTTGTTTGCATAGTTTGTTCACTGCACATCCACGGACATCCAAACATCCAGCGAGGATTAGGCCTGCATGTGCACCTGTACTGTGCATAGTAAACGTGCCCTCACTAATCACTCTGGAGGATTAGAGGTGTAGGTTTATTTTAGATGTTTGAGCCTCAGGGTAATGAGCATCATACAAGCCCTCCTTCTTTTTTTTTTCTTTTTTTAAAGCATGCCAACAACCTCCCACTCACAGCTCAGGTATAAGGCATCAGGAAATGTTATTCCTGTGTAGAGGAGCACTGGTGGATCCGCGAGGCAGTGACGCACTTGCAGCCAGCTGACCCTTGCATGGCTGAAGATGCATTACAGTATCTCAACTCGGTCAGGAAATCACTTTCCTCCCTAGTCCCCTCTTCTTTTTTCTTTCGACACTTCACAAGCAAAAGTGAACTCCTCTCCTACTTGATGCTGTGCGCTGCCAAAATGCCCTTCATACCGCCAGTGTCCATCGCGCGCTCCGTGTCAGGACTCGCTGGGAAGGAGAGACCCACCAACAACACGTCATCTGTATCTGCTGTGACCAAAGCTTTGAAAGAAGACAAAGGCGGCTCAGTGAAGGAGAGGCTGGCTTTGAACTTGAAACAGCTGGGGAAGAAGAGTCAGCCCAAGAGTAATCTGCCAACAATTAAAGGAGTGTCAGGGGCAAACAGAAGGGAAGGCTCGCTGCCTTCATCCCAGACAGGCAGCTCTCCTGTCACCAGCTCAGAGAGTCTGTCTAAAAGACAGCAGCGCAAACACTCCGGTCACACTTCTGTAAAGAGTGACTCACAGGTGAAGCCTGTGAGAACCAAGGATCAGCAGGAGGTCCGTTTCACTCTGACTCTCACACCCGAGGCTGTCCTCCTGCTGCAGCGGAGAAACAGCGAGAGACACCGGCAACGTTCAGCCGCCAGAAACCCCGCGAGTGGATCCACCTTGGCTCCCGGAGGAGCCACGGAGTCCCGACGCAGGAGGGAAAACGTGCCCAAAAGGCAGAGAAACGGCTCTCACAGCGGCAGAGTCACCGCTAAAAACAGCACTGACGCTGAGCTCGGAGACATAAACTCAATTCTGAAAATCTCCCTTTTGAATGAGCGGCACAAGTACGACGACGTGGAGTACGAGGAAGAGGATGACTACGGCGTGGATGAGCGCGTGATGCTCAAATGTACAGAGTGGCTACGTGGGCTGGAAAACGCACCAATGACGGCGAGGAACAAGCTGAGTCGGAGCGCGAGCAGCGTGAAAAGTTTCTGAAGGTGACTGGAAATGAGCGAGCGCCCGGGATTAAATGCGCGTTGTCATGGTAACTGTCAAGTTTCCCTCATACATATTTCTAGGATAAAAACTGTGATGTGACATGTCATTTAGCATGATGGTGTCGTGGCTATCCCTTTATACTATTGGATTACAACTACAAGGGCTGTATGCAGAAAAAAAATATTTATTTTTATTTTGTGTTTTTGAGCGTTGGGTGTTAAGATCCTCTGAAATATTTTGTGGAATATATATTTTCATTGACACATGGCTTTCTAACAAGGTGCAAATGTGCAAGGATGAGAAGACACAACTGTTCGCTGACTGCCCGAGCATGCGCTCTGAGGTGCAGTGCACAGAGCAACGCAGCTGCTGCAATGTGTGAGTGATGCACGAGCCTCAGGAGGATTTGCACGTCACAGGATCGTCTCTAATGGCTTTGATAAAGATCTCGCACAAGATGACACTTTATCCGCAGTTATGCAATGTCAGAAGAGTAACCGATGAAGTGAAATTAAAGGGAAAGTCAGCGTTTACTTTGATTTTTAATGCTTTTCCTTCGTCTTCTGTGCCCTCACTTTAAATTTCACAGCTAAGCAGTTTGCACCTTTACCGTCATTTGATCAGTATAACGTTTTGTAAGACTTGCATTTATTTAAAAAAAGAAGAAGAAATAAATACGTTAAAAACAGGAAAACTTTTAAAACTTTTTAAAGATAAATCATTTGTACTTTTGTTTTTGTAACCAACACTGTCTAAGAAAGCGCTAAGTAGCTTTCTACGGATTTAAGATCTTGGTTTGGCAGTTGTCAGACATATCAGCTTATCCACCTGGGAGTCAAATGTTACAACACGTGTGATGGTTAATGCTATAGAGCAGGGCCCTTAATCATAAGGCCAAGGGCCAGCATTGGCTGGGCAAAGACTCGACTCCAGTCCACAGGACGGTTGAGGAAGATGTGAAGGAGTATAGGCTCAAATTGAGGTCATAAATATTTTATACTTGTAAATCAGGATTTATATGTGTAAAAAGAATTTGTGTGTGTGTAAAAAAGATTTGTTTGCAGTGTTTTGGAAATTACAGTCTTCACTAGTGGGGATAGTTACAAAGCTTTCTTCGTTATGAATTAGCATACATGTGGCATAGCATACCTACAGAGCTCAGCAGCCAGCGCAACAAATTCTGGATCCTTTGCTTTTAGTTAGCATTAGCAGCATATCCTGCGTCCGATGTAAAAGTACCTTTAAGCTGAGCACTGTGACTCACAGCAATGTTCCCGGGTCAGCGCTGACTTTCTGTTAAACCACTGATATACCACAACTTTATCCTTTCAACAGCTACTGAAAGTTAGAGGACCTAGCTTCTATCAGAAATTTATATAGAGATCCTCCAGCTTCAAACTGTATTACCCTTCAAGGACCTGCAGTTCAAAGAAGCACCCCTCCGACAGCCAAAACCATCTGTTCTCTGATTGGACACTTAAATTTGTGATTGACATGACATTGGCCAATCAGATGAAAATTCGTACTTGTAACTTGAGTTTGACACGTAGTTTTTTTTTTTTTTTGGCTAAGTCCACATACAAATCTTTTTTATGCACACAAATTCTTTTTACACATACAAATCCTGATTTACAAGTACAAAATATTTATGAACACAATTTGAGCCCATAAAGGAGGGCATATGACCACAATTTGAGCCCATAAAGGAGGGCATATGACCACAATTTGAGCCCATAAAGGAGGGCATAATTTTGGACTTTTACACTGAAGTCATTACATAAGATATAACAATTAAATGAAAGTCTTGATGCAAGCTCAATCATCAAGGTAAGCAAATCCCAGAAAGTTGTTTATCTGGAGGTTATGTTTCCAGTGGGAAAAATATTTCCTCACTCATCCAAGTGACTTCTTAAGAAATTACAAAATGTTTCTCCCACTGAAAACCCAAAGTCCAGATGAACAGAACATCCTGGAATTAAATGACAGAAAAAATGAATGTTTTTCATTGTCTCTTTAGAAATATCAGTTTTTTATAATGTAAAAAATAAACAAATAGGATATTTTCTGAGAATTAACAAAAACTTTCAGTTTTGTAATTACAGAAGTGTCTGAGCAATGAGCTAAACCAAATTTTTTTAAATGTAATACATTTTTTTTTTTATTCGTGCTGACAGGTTTCTTCCATCTACTCTGACAACATTTCTTTATCATGCAAAAAACTTAGAGATACTGTTGAAATTGCACTTGTTTTTCTTCTATGATATTCCAAGGGACTTTAAATGGACAGTTAGACGTCTTTACAATGACAGAAAGAGGAGTTTCACTAGTGTGGTCCACTTAACATCAATGTGGGCAGCATGTGACCCGGGATGTAAAATGAGTCTGACATCCCTTTTTTAGAGCTTAAGTGAGTAAAAGATTTTAAATGTAATGTCTTACAGTATAAATTGATCTGAAATAATAAATTAAATAATAGTAAAAGAAAGCTCAGTCTGGTGGCACTATATAAAACAACTCTCCAGTGTTGCTTTTTTTGTTGTTGTTAAATTACTAAGAAATATACTTGGCTGCTTATTGACACATGAATGGGAATCATTTCCAGCGGTTGATTCGTCGCAACTGGACGTAGGCCAAGCACATGCAGACAAATATGATTCCCAGCAAGGCCACCACGTTCCTCCAGAAGCCCCACACAGAGTAGTCGATACCTTGCTGTTCCAGGAAATATTCCCCTGAGATGCTGAAGCACAAGACACAAAGACACATTTAATCTGTGTGCGCTTGTGTGTGCATAAGTTTTAAACAGTAGCTACGTTATTTCACTCACGCTGTGTTGTTGCTGTACAAAAACTGTCCTTTCAGCTCGTTAATGTATAGAGCCTAAGAAAGAGAGACAAAGAGATCAGGCTGAACAACCTCCTCACTTCACATAAAGGCACATTCAGCCCCAGTGGTCTCATTCTCACACACAAATCCTCCTCCCTTGCTTTCTGTGTCTTACATCCAATCCATATTTGAAGATACTGATCCATTTCACCCAAGAGAGCCAGCTCAGCATGGCGTTGAGATTGACGAGAAAACCACCAAAGACCTGAAACATAAAGAGGGAATGAAACTTAAGTGCCCATTCCTCTCTTGTACATGTCATATATGAGTCTTAGCATCTCACCATCATGAAGACGAAGGGCAAAGCAATGAGGATGTTTGCCATTGCAAATGTAGAAACGCTCGCTGAGACGAGGAAGGCCAGACCAACTCCTGCCAGACTGACCAGAGACATGGTCAGAGCGAAACAGAGGAACGTCTCAAAGGCAGGCTTCAACCCTGAAGGAATGGTGGACACGTGCACACAGGAAGACAGGAAATTATTGAGTGGGCTGCTCCTGGCACAGTGGCAGTGAGATCAAATGGAAGCTTCCAAATGAAAAGTAATCAACAGCGGCTCAATTAATTAGGAAGTATATTATGGGGATCCAGATTTTATTCATCAAATCTGGGACACTGTTGAGATGAGGCTCAGCCTGTGCAGAAGGAACTGGGCTGTTTCCTTATTCACTAATTTACTGCATCCAAACTCTCACTCATACTGCAAAACCACTCTGTGGATTTGGAGTTAGCCCTAAATAAGACATTTCATGGATGTGAATGAAACAGCAGCAGCTCCTCTCTGTGCTAACTGACTGCATCAGAACATCTTTCATGATACGACGCAATGTGTGTTTTGTATGTGTATGTCTGCTTGCATGCAAGGATGATGTTACCCATCATGTAGTAGGCAATTGCTGAAAACACAATGATGGGAATCATGCGATTGGGGATGAGATCAGCAAAGATCTTGGACAGGAAGTAGACGGAGGTACGGTAATAGCCGCCAGAGTTCTCATGACTGCAACAAACATTAACAGGGAAAAAAACATAAACTCAAAAACAATGTGAGAGGGTGAAAAGGGTTAGATTCACTGACAATTTGAAAAACAGACATTTTTTTTAGCTATATTTTATATCAAAGTGTGATGCAACTCATAAGCATGCACCTCTTCTAAAATTAAGCTCACGCTAATTCATTGATGATTGCATTTTAAAAAAATGCTTTAAAAGGCAGCAACACCACACACTTGGTCAGGACATCCTGGTCCAGTTAGCTATCGACTACAACAGGCTGTGCTGGCAGCCACCTATCACTTGCACCCAGCTATGCATTTAATAAAGCAAACTTTAAGCCTCAGTGCAATTTAAATCGGTGTGTTATATAAAACAATTACTCCCAGTACAGATATCATGAGGAGGTCAATTATCTATAAACTCGAAAACATTTTTTTTTAATTTTCACAAGACTATAAACATGTTAATTACTGCTGTGAAGTCTATTTTAACAGCAAAACTGCAGTTTTGGCATTTTGGCTGTTTTTTTTTCCAGCCCCTGAGATGACTGCTTTGTGAGTTTGGTATTCTTGCGAACAGCAGCCAAGATGAATTAGCTGATGAGTATTAATGAGGTTATGTTGCCTCGGGGCTCTAGTCCAGAGTCCTTGCAGAGAGAGCGTAACCCAGATTACTTTGTCATAGTTACAATTTACAAATGTCCAAAAAATATGTCTCATGCAGGCAGTCATAAAGCCTAAGGACTACAAAACAGACACACCAATTAAATGTGTGTGTTGCAGGCAGATGGTGGGTAACACCTTTCTCACCAGTGGCTCTTCCCAACAATATGAGCAAGTGACAGAAATCATTTGTCACCTTTAAGATGAACACATAAACAAAATTATTCTGTTTACTTGTACGGCTATTCTTGTGAGAGTTTTCTCCATTACAATCAGTGAGAGGCCAGCTTGTTTTATTTCACACCTCTTTAAAGGCCTGTCTGAGGGCTAAGACTCAGTTTCAGGGTCAAAGTTAGTGTTAGGTAGGGTTAGAGCTCAAGATTTATTTGTAGTCCTTTGTGAATGCATTACTGTAAATGAAATATAGCCAACAGAGCATGACTGGCTCTGCTGGAAAAATTACAGACTGTGGATTAATCACTTTGCTCTAGTCCCTTCTGTCTTTTCAGAGTACTGCTGCATTTTCCTGGTGATCCCTGCATTTTCCAGACAACTGCAGGGATCACCCAACTTTCCCAAAGTATGTTTCTGTTTATTGCTATGCAACTGGTCTGAATTATATGTTGAGAAGTTTTAGAGTACATATGGTTCCAGCGACCCTTTTGGACTGACACAAGAGTGCTTTATTGGTTGTAGGAATCTGACTGGGTTCTTGTAAAAGGCTCTTTCTTTTAAGGGGTCCCTGTGCAATAGTTAGCCATGTGTAGTGAACCACAGCTGAAAACACTGCATAACAAATGAACTATTTTCTCCGACTTGAGTAATAATGAATAAAAATCGCAATGTCCAGTTGTTTTTGGAATGTCGTGTATCCTCTATGAAAACAAACCTACATGCCTTGTTTTTATGATTTATCATCTCTGTAACTATGGTGGATTTAAGAATATAGCAGCTTTGGCTTTGACTGAAGAAAAATACAGAATAGCACAAGTCACACTTTTAAAGTGCATACATAAGCTTTATGTCTCACTCACATGAAGATCGCCCTTTCATTTATAAAGAGTTCAACAGCAGAAAGATTCCCAAACACCATGTTGATGATAAGGAAGAAGAACGCTCCACTCCTGCCATTATTAGACAAAAGAGACAATGGTTTAAAAAATTAAGAACATGTCAGCCATGATACATTACTGTGAAAAATATTTGTCACACCTACATGTGTTAGGTCATCAAACAAATGTTAACATTAGACAAATATAACCAGAGTAGATTGTAAAATGCAGGATTTCATCCATCCATCCATCCATTTTCTTCCGCTTATCCGGGGCCGGGTTGCCAGGGCAGCAGCCCAAGCAGAGAAGCCCAGACCTCCCTCTCCCCAGCCACCTCCGCCAGCATATCTGGGGGAACACCAAGGCACGCCCATGCCAGCCGAGAGATACCCTGCCCTGGGGCCT